AAACACAAACTACATTATGTCATTTCTTTGCCCAGAACTATTCACTGACTCCTCAGTTCAGAAAGAGAAAAAGCCAAAGTATATACAGTGACCTACAAGACTCTGCATGATCTGTTTCTCTGGTGTCTTTCTTGCCTCATTTCTTTCTAGTCTTTACTCCAGTTTACACCAGCCTAGCCACACTGAGGATTTTGTTATATCACTAACCACCTGGCAGAATTCTACCCTAAGTCCTGTATCATCTTTGTTTCCTTTGCTTGGTCAATCCTTTCCCTAGATGACCACATGTCTCACTTCCTCATTTTCCTCAAGCCTTTAGTTTCTCGAGTTAAAATTACTGCCATCTTCTCATCCTCCTCTTGCCCCATTTCCCTTACTCTGCATAGTGTTTTTCTTTTTCCCTTAGCATTCATTCATTTATCTTCTACACCAAATGATTTTATTTATTCCTGTGTTTCTTATGTTTATTGTGTAATAGCCCCCTTCCCACCTTTAAGACCCAGGCTACACAGATGATTGTCTGTTTTATTCCCTATCACATAGTAGGTACTTAGTATAAATTTTTCACTTTGTTAAGTAAAGTTAAATGTTAAATAAGTAAAGCATTGTTGTTGTTGTTTTTCAGTGCCATCGAGTCGGGTCTGACTCATAGCGAACTCCTAGGGTTTCCAAGGAGCAACTGCTGGATTTGAACCAACAATCTTGTGGTTCAAACCAATCTTACGGTCAAGTGCTTATCCTACAGTGCCACACTAGGACTCCAAGTAAAGCATTAAAAGTATAAATTTTGGTATTTTCCTTCTCAAAAAGTTATTTAAAAGCACTAAAGATTAGAATCAGCAGAACTAAGTATTACTGCTGTCGTAAGTTACTATTGCCAATCATGAATTGAAATGCTACCTCCATGTTTAACATTTATGTGCCTTACATTAAACATTAAACACTAAAGACCAAAGACCAGAAGAGTTGTGGGATGACATCAAGAACATCATACATGAAGAAAGCAAAAAGTCATTAAGAAG